CCATAATGGATGCTGAAAATTTCACTTTTCTTTTCAGACAGTCAACATGGAATGCTTCATTTTTTTGCGAATAACTCTACTGCGACTGTCACCAACACAAACCTCGAATCGGGCCTCATCACTCCATTGTATTGCACACCATTGTTGAGGTGTCCATTGTCTATGTTCTTTAGCCCATCTAAACCGATTTTTCTTTTGCAGTGGAGTCAATAGTGGCTTTTCTTTGGCCTATAAACAAAGTTGCAATTTCTCAGTTTGATTTCCCTCGGTTGGCCGCGTAGGTCAGAGTGTCGTGCTACTGATCAGCCGGCCGGCCGGGCCGCGAGTTCGAATCTCGCCTTCGCCATGGATGTTGTGTGTTTGTTTTAGGCAGCAGCGGTGGCCGCAGTAGTAGACTCTTCGGTCTCCTGATCAGCCGCCGTGCGCTGTGCGGGTTCGAGTCCCGTCCCAGGAGAAATATTTCTGTTGGCCATGGATGTTGTGATTGTCCGTAGGTGGTAGATGGTCTCTGACTGTCGAACGCGGAGGTACCACCCGGCGGTTCTCGTAGGCGGAGCCAGAATGTGTGCATGTTGCATGCACACGTGTTCCCTCGCCAGAGTCCGTGTGGCGTCCCCCCTTTCCCATGTATCCCCCATAGCCCCACGGTACCCAATGGGTGCTTAGGCCTTAGGCCTTCGTGGTAGTTGGAGTATAAAAAAAAAAAAACCAACACAAACTTCGAATCGGGCCTCATCACTCCATTGTATTACACACCATTGTCGAGGTGTCCATTGTCTATGTTCTTTAGCCCATCTAAGCCGATTTTTCTTTTGCAGTGGAGTTAATAGTGGCGTTTCTTTGACCTATAAACAAGTTGTGCAACTTTAGGGTTTTTATTTCACTTTTTTTATAAGAAAACTTACCTTGCAAGTGCTAAATCCCAGTTTGTGGGCCTCTCTATGAGTTGTGGACCTCGAAATTCTCCTTCCAACAGCGTCGCTCCACAGAGCACTTAATTGTAAATAATTGGCACGCCTGTTTTTCAGGATTATTCTTAATGTTCTTCGGTCGGCATTTGAGATATTACTTTTTTCACATATCGTGGCTTAATATTAACTGAACGAGTTACGTTATATCTTCTAACAACATTTCTCACACTGCACCGCGATAAGTCTAACAAGGTTGCAATTTCTGAGTTTGATTTCCCAGAATTAAAAAATTTAATTATCAGTAACCGAATTTTCTCACTAATAACCTTTCTTCTACCCATTTTGAAAACCTTAACTACCCAAAACTATTTTAAACGTATTCTGACAGCTGTGATTAATAAAAACAATTGTCATGGCTTTTATTTTTCACAGCCACCTATGCGTTATAGACTTATTCTGCATTGAAATGAAAATAGGTTGATATGCTGTAATTGCAGCATGTGTTATTTTTATGCTGCAAATTTGATTAGGGAGTGATAAAGTTGGTGTTTTCTACTAGATATTATCAAAATGTTCATTGTTAATATTTTAAACCTATAACACCCTGCTACACTTTTATTATTTGTGTTTGATAAGAAAAAAACTAAGATTTCAAGTCGGTAGGGGCTCGTAGTTGTAGTTGCCGTTCTTGGCGGGTCAAAGTAAGACTACCAATAACCCTTTATATATCTCCATCTCCCTCATACATACACATGCAACCTATCCCTGTGTGTGTACGTTTGTTCTGTAACCACAAAGGCATATGTATTTTAGTTGTCTCCGTCTCGAAAACTTTGTTGTTACGTATGAGTGTCCTTCAATCAGATTTGTCAGAGTGACAACTTACTTGACATGGGCGTGAAATTCAAGTAGCCTTGTTATCAATCTTCAATATAAAATTGTACAAGGACCGGAAAAACGATCATTGGAGAAGGCCGACAGCTCGTGCTAAATTTTCCAGGAAGAGAATGAAACCAGCTGTCTCCTGTTACCTACTTAATCCGTAATGGAGAGAGTAGCAGATGCGCTCAAGGTTTGTCTGCGCAGTGTTCCGCTCATGGCACGGTCTGTTTACTTATTTCATATGGAGTTGATGACGTAACCGCCCAGAACGGTGACTGCAACTATACGTGGTCTCATGTAAAGGGTGTTCCAAAAGTAACTCAAGTTTTGAATTGAATAGAAAACACAGTTTCAAGTCTTTAGATTGTGTTTTCGAAAATTGTTATGACGTTTCTGAATAACTGAGTTTCGTTGATGCACTGTTAAATTGCCGCTTGCAATGAACGGGTGGTTGTGGGCTTGTTGACATATACCTTTGACTTTAGATAACTCCATAAGAAAAAAATCTAATGGTGTTAAATCATACGATCTAGGGGGCCAATTCTGATCACGGAAACGGGAAAATACACGACCAGGAAATCTCTCACGCACTGACTGCGTGACATGTGGCATTGTCTTGTTGGAGCCAAATATTGGAGCATCCAATTTTGGCAGAAAGAACTGTGTTATCATGTCGCGATATCGAGCACCAATAACAGTCATTGCTTCACCAGTCTCGTTTTCAACAAAGTATGTTCCAATGATGATTCCAGCCCAAAATCCGTACAGTGACACGTTGAGAGTGCATTTGTTTTTAGACAAACACCTGTGGATTTTCCGAACGCCAAATACGGCAGGTTTTGTGATTAACAAAGCCATCAAGGTGAAAATGTGCTGCATCGCTCAGGATGGTTTTGCATCAGCATCCACTTGTGGGTATTAAATAATCCATTCCACGAACTCTTTTCGCTGTTCATGGTTATTAGGCTTCAGTTTTTGTGTTAATTGAATTTTGTAAGCATGGAGACACAGATCTGTTGTAAGTATATGCTGTCGAGTTAAGACACAATTCCGGCCATATTTTGTAAAAAATGTTCGAACTGCTGAGGCTAAACTTCCATTATTTTTGAAATATTGTGCAATAAAGGGAACACGTTGTTGTATCGAATAAAGGTTGATTGTCACTATGCATTCCATTTCCATTCCATATCAGTTTCGTAAACGTTCCGTACAATGTGATTGTATACACAGTATACCTACCTTACGAATAAAATGTGCATACACACACAATAGCCTGCTTTAAGCGAAGGCGAATATTTAATTTCAATAATTTACGGAACGGTTACGGAATGGAAACGGAATGTATAGTGAATCAACCTTAAGGCTCCATTTTTACTAACCCTAGCATCTTAGCTGTCAAGTTGTTCTTCTCTCAGGGCTGGCTACCATTTACTGCAAACATGGCGGTAAATTCAAATCTTGCGTTAATTATAGGACACCCTTTAGAACTGCAATGATGATGAAAAATTTTAATTATAGGATAAATGTAAGCCAATGTACTAAACAATTCCATCTGCCATGAATGTTTTTGCAAGCAGAATAACGAAAAGGGTTTTTTTCATACTTTAAACCGTCATACAGTAATATATTCAAGTGTGATAGATAGTAGATAGTAATGACGGATTTTATTGAGGACACTACTCTGAGATGTCTTTTATTATTACTGCACTCCTCCCAAAATTAGAAAATACTGGCATATGTATTGCCAAATTGTAATATTTATACGAATTTGGCAGTATAAAAAGAAATTTACTTAGTTGGAAAAGCATCTCGGGATTGTTACCCTTCTATAAAACTTTTATGTTGCTACGTAACAGGTGTTTGTTGAAAGCTTTTCCTAATACAAGGTAGAATGCAAACATTTGACGAATTCTGCGATAGTCTTCATAAATGTTTTATTAGCCAATGAGCTGGTTAGTTTGGCGCTTGGTAATTATTCAAATATGAATGAGTTACTCGGCGTAATCTTTGCCTTCTGAATCACACTGAACTTAATATACTTCGAAGTTGAGTCATTTATTTTAACAGTGAGTAGATGTGATCAAAAGAAATGTTTTTTTCCTTTACCATTTTTCTGGTAAAATTAAAGTAACAAAGTTATAGCCCTTTGGAAGTTTGAGTACCGCCCTGTCTCAATGATAATATTATGTGCTCGTGTTTGGCAACAACGGATATAATCCGCCATCGGTTCATCGCATCGGAAACAAAAAAGCGAAAGAATTTGGAACGATGTTTTTGCAATTATTTTATTCAGTTGTGTTGTATACAGTCAGTGTCAGTCGGTAACGCGTCAGTGAATAGTGGTGTCTGTTGCGTGGCTCAAACGAAATAAAAAATGGCACATGTTTATGCGGATCGGTTTCCAAATCCAGTGCAACCAACCCCTCGTGCCTTTGTTAATGTAGCACAACGGGCTCACGAATCAGGTGACTTAAGACGGCATGCCGGTGCTCCAAGACCTCGCGATCAAATACAGGTCCGCACTGAAATACTTGTCGGGAGGATACTTTATAAAACAAGGTAAATTTTTTTTTTAATTTTTTTTCATTTTTACACACATATTTTGGTTTATCTTCCTTCTACAATCATTATCTGAAAATTAATGACTCAACTTCAAAGTCTGAGAGCCTAAACAGTATCCATGTTCGTCAGCAGAGATTCTGTAGTGGTAAGTAGATTCAGGCAAAACCATTTTGAAGAGGGTGTGCCGAGCAATAAGGAATAAACTACCATGTGCAACTGTTTCGTGCGGACAGCGCATAGCTGTTATTGGTTAGAACTTCCAGGGATCACAGTTCACGTCATCACGTGACCGCTAAATGGCTGACGGTTCTAGCTGTAAAGTAGATGTGGTCTACTTACCATCGAATAAACTAAAGATGCTTTCGTCCGTGCCACCAAGAAAAGCCAACCATTAGCTATGTACACACTGTGCCTTTTTTTGTTCAATATGGGCATGCGCTATAGCGCAGTCAACAGCGCACGTGAGGCATGCCTTTAAGGCAAGCGCGATGGCAGTTGAAAGCGAAGCGCGCGCTGTGATAGATACACGTTTTCCGGCGTCGGGTGGATGTCTGTGCCTTATAGCGTTCAACAACAAATAATAAACTTTATACAAATAAAGTAAAGAGAAACGATGGTTTGCAAGTTCTGGCTACTAAACATAAAATGGATATCGATGGAGTTAAAAAAAAGATAAAAAGTCTTCGCTCATATTTTTCCAAAGAGCATCAAAAAGTCATCAGGAAAAAGAGCGGTGCTGAATCCGATGAGATTTATGTTTCACCGTGGTTTGCTTACAAACAACTCTTATTCACTGCTGACTCGGTGACGCCGCGGGAAACTAGAGAAAGTAGTACTGAGGATGAAAAGGTATTTTAAAATGCATATTTATTTAGGCAAATCAATTTATTACTTTTTCCACAAAATAAATGTGATAGGTATATAGTTATAAGTGTCGGGTTTGAAACGGTATTGCTCCAATATCTGACATGAAATAATTCATAAATTCATCTCGTATTTGGTTCGATGTATTTGATGATCTACGAGGAATTCTTTGAAGTGGCCTATAACCGCTGTCATCGGCAGTTATTACTCTCCATGACCCGGGAATGATTTCTCCAGTGCTTACATCCTCATTATCAAAACAACCTGGAGGGCAGTAATCCCGTGTAGAATCTGTCTGCATTCGTAGAAAATTGTGTATGTAAACACAACTCAAAACAACGTCAATTACAGTACTGTCGACTTTTAATTCAATGGGCTTACGGAATATTCTGAATACAGATGCGAGAAGCCCAAACGCATTTTCAACGATACGTCTTGCCCTTGATAACCTATAATTATACACTCTTTTTGGTGACCCCACATTTAAATCGGTTGAATATGGTTTCAGAGTATAGGTACTTAGTGCAAATGCATCATCAGCAACTAATACGTAAGGTACTGACATGGTTCTACCACGTAGTGGTTCACTATTTGGTAAATTAAATTGACAACCAACATTAACATATGTAAAACAATAGTTTGCATCTACAATTGCAAACAATACTATGCTATGTGTTCCTTTGTAGTTATGAAATTCGCCCACTGTATTTTCTGGTCTTTGGATGACCGCATGTTTTCCATCCATGGCGCCAATACAATGTGGAAAGTTCCATCGCTTGTCAAAATCATTCGCAATCGCCTTCCATTGCTCCTCGTTTGTTGGTAACTGTAAAAACAAACAAAAAAAAAGGATTTCAGTACGATTTATATTTTTTGCAGGACACGCCGGCTGAAATATTAAATAGAGAAAACTCTGCGACTTCGCAGTCTACGTGTATATCTGAAGACGAGCATGAATTTACCCTACCACCAATAAGAAAGAAGAGAAATATTAAAAGTACAACGATTGACGATAAAGAGGCGGAAGCTTACAATTTTATGAAAAAAACTAGTGAAGAATTAAGTCGAAAAGATGAGTTCACTACTTATGGACAATTGATAGCTCATAAAATTCGAAACCTTAATACATTTAATCGGCTTATAGCTCAACAACGCATAAACAATATACTCTTTAATCTGGAAATGCAACAGATAACTGGTGCAGCAGCAACGCATAATGTTACCGAGATGCGGAATGGAACTGAGATGAGGAATGCGACTGAGATACAGAATATGACTGAGATACATAATGTTACTGATATGCGGAATATGACTGAGATACATAATTTTACGGAGATACCGGAGACACAGGCTGATTGAAACATTATAGATATTAGCAATATTTCTGAATTTGTTCTATTTAAAAAATGATTATGGTTGTGTTTTTTAATAAATGAAACTGTTACTTACCTTAATATAATCCTTGAGTACTTCAATTATGGCTTTTAATACATCTGGTAGCATTGTTGATATGAATTGTTTGGAATAAAAACGAAAGGGACATTAAACTGTCTCCAGTAGCTAAAAACCTTAGCGTTATTGCTAACTTTATTTCACTAGGTATAGCTTCACGTAACTGGGTTGACTGCTTTGTAATTTTTGGTTTAAGCAATTTCAAAAGTCGATCAAATTTTTTTTCGGACATGCGTGTAAAATTTTTATTAAGAATATCTTTATCTTCTCTTAGTTCACTCATATAATCACGTTACTCCGATTATTATAATAACCTCGTATCCAAAACTTTCTCTTGGTTCTTTTTTTACTGGAATTTCTGATGACCAAGTAAGCTGCACATATTCCACCAAGTAAAATATTCTCGTCGCACATGTTTCCAAATTATGACAGAAACTACGACTAAACTATGGTGTTGCTTTCATTTAACGCATTCACTTATTGTAAGCGTTAAACGAAAGTCGAATAGAAAGATGAAGACGAAAGTTGACGATGAAAAGGTACAGTGTGGACATAGCTATTGAGAGTTGTTTCGTGCTTCTTGGCTACACATCAGCAGGCTTGGTCTCTCGTCTCCGTCGCTGTCTTATTTCGATAGACCGTACCTCCTGGGGTAGCCCATCCGTGTGTGGACGGGATATTACTCATAAACAAATACATTTTGGGGAAATCTATTTATGGCTTGTTATACATGACAGTTGAGGGCACTTTTCTAAAATATTGGCAGTTATACAGGGTGTTCCAATTTTTGACCTACACATCAAAGTTGTGATTTTTTAAAACGAATGCCTCAAATTTTGTTGCATATTTGGATAAACCAATTCTAAAGAGGAAGATTGATATAACATACTATCTGGTTTTGGTAATTAGCTAGTGAGATGTAAGGTGTTTTGTCCAAAAAAAACCGTCCACTTCGGCAACCTCTCAATCCGCCTTTTTGAAACTTAGGGTGCTGAATTTTGTATCAAAAAATACTTTCACACCTCTGATTTTATATTATTTGTTACTGTTTCGAATTTTCATTTTTGCTCATACAGGGTGGTCAGTGCGGAAGTGAATACATGAATGTAATTTGACAGTTTAACAACTGTTGTCTCTGTGGTGAAAGACGAGATGAAAGCCCAAAGTAAAATTATTCACTAGAAAGAAGGACATACAAGGACGTTAGGTATTGTTGAGACAAGCACCACATCTTGATTAACTCTTTGTTGCTTTAATTTCCTTCCTTTATGAGGAGTAGAGAAGTTGCAATGTTAGTTTGACGTTTCTGAACCTGATATATTAACTTATGAAGGTGTCAAAGTCTAGTGTGACCTTCGTGTTCGGCCAAGCCAAAATGATTTAATTTGTGCGCTACCCGTACACGCATTCCTCTTGGTATTCTGTCATTGCTTATTTCCGGCAAAATACAATCGATGCAAAAAGAGGTAGGCTTAGGCACCATCGAATCACGCCAAACCTGTATATTTGTGCAAGTTTGGATTCAACTTTTCATGAGCTTTTTTTTGGTATAAGGTTTGATTCAGAAAGAATCACCAGATTTTGAGTTATTAAGCTTTTAATAGAACAACATACCAAAATTAAGGAAAAAATCACATCATCCATGGAAACAAAAGACAAACAGTGGGCTAGTTTCATATCGCCACTAAGAGTACAGATTTGACGTAAAAACTAATAACAATCAGAACAGTACAAATCAGCTCCAAGCCTAATAGAGAAAAACAACTATAACAACAATACGAACAAACAACTATCACTACTCAAGGCCTAATCTACAAACACTGCTCGGAAATATCTCCACCATGTTGAATACACAGCCGTAGTCTTTGGATAAATGACTGATGCACATCCCTCAGCATGTGTTCCCTTATGTTCAGAAAAGCATCCTTAATCCTTTCCTTACTTTTTTCCGCGGTAGATGGTGTATATCTATAAACCTCTTACTTAACGTAGCCCCATAGAAAGAAGTCCATTGGTGTCGAATCTGGTAATCTAGGAGGCCAAGATATAGGCCCTTCATGACCGATCCAACGATTATTACTCCAGTTGTCCAAATAGTTACGCACGCGATTATGATACTGCGCAGGTGCGCCGTCATGTTGGAAGTACATATGCATCCGAGTTTGCAGGTTTACATCCTCCAAAAGCAATGGCAAATGCTCTATCAAAGAATCAGGTATTCTCTACCTGTTAATCTGTTGTCGAAAAAAAAGGTCCGATAACTTGTCTTCCAATAACTATTAATAATAAATCTATTTTCCTGACCCAGTAAGGGTTTTTCGTCTCATAATGGTGCATGTTATGCCTGTTGAACAACACCTATGCTGTCAAAAGTTGCCTCATCGCTAAAAAGAAGCTTATCCAGGAAAGTAGTGTCATCACTCACTTTATTTAGCATTATTCTACTAAACTCCATTCGAGCTGCAAAATCCTGAGGACGAAGGCCTTGATGCAAGCATAGGTGATATGATGGTTCCATGCTTGTGAATAATCCTTTGGACAGAAGTTCTGCATATATCAGTTTCTGCTCCAATTTGCCGTGCACTTAAATGGGGATTTTTCTGCAACCTTAATAGAACATCCAACTGATTCGCCTCAATGGTGACACCTGGATTATTTATACATCTTCTACTATATTCCACTGCTCCACTTGGTTCAAAACGTTCTCGTAGTGTGGAAAATGTTTCCGGCCTTGGATGTCGCATATTAGGGTAAAATTGCTTATAAATACGAGATGCTAGGAAACTATTTCTTTGAGCTTCGCCCAAAACGAACACCATATTCACGATTTCTTCTCTAGAAAAATTCATTTTCAAACACGCTTTTATTATGATGCTCACAAAGCTAATTTTGACAGTTTCAACAATTTAATTGTTTCTAAGGATGATGCGATATTCTAGGGAATTAACCGAAAAAAAGCCGTAGAAACCCTTATGTGACTAGTGTCGAAAAAAAAACTTAATCCAAACTTGCAAAACAGGGTGTTGCATTTGAAATTTTTGAGAGAAACTATAGTTTGCGTTTTTGACCACCCTGTATGAGCAAAAATGAAAATTCGAGAAAGTAACAAATAAGATATAAGATGAGATGTGTAAGTTTTTGGTACAAAATTTCAAAATGGCGGACTGGGGGGTTGCCGAAGTTCGAGGTTTTTCTAGACAAAACACCTTATATCTCAGTAGCTGATCACCGAAACCGCATAGTATGTTATATCAGTTTTCTTCTTTTGAATTGGTTTATACAAATATGCAACAAAATTTGAGACATTCCTTTCGAAAAATCACAACTTTGATATGTAGGTCGAAATTGGGACATCTTGTATAATGGGCCAATATTTTAGAAATGTGCCCTCAAATGTCATGTATAACGTCCCATAAATGGATTTTTCCAAAACGTATTTGTTTATGAGTAATATTCCGTCCACACATGGATGGCCCACCCTGTACACAGGATACTTTCGATGCTTTCGTTCGTTATCCAGAGAGGACAGACCAAGCCAAGCCCACGAAGCAGCAGTCATTGGTCGGCTGTCTTTTGGTCGGTCGGACGAAAGCATTATGTTTAGCTGATAGTTTTCATGTGTTTGTGTCTCAAAATACGCCTCTGAAAGTGGCGGGGCTAAGAACATATGCCTTGACATACGGTGAAATTCAAATTTGGCTTTCAGTACATGTATAGCGTACGAAAAAAGGGAACTTAGCGCAACGTCAACAAATAAGGAAAATGGAATATATACATCTATATATGGGAAAGGCCATGTGGCGTCAACAATCCAACCTAAACTAAAGAATGATAATTCAGCTGACTATACGGGGTGTTTCAAATTGGACCCTCACCATTGGGATCTCTGTAAGAGATACAAAGATGCTCAAATGAAGGAAAAGTTGCATATTTACGTAATTAACAAAGTACCACCTAGAGAGTTGAAGTTCCAACTTTCGACGAGACTCGGAAAAAAACCGAATTTTCCCAAAATTGATTTATTATTTACCTGAAAATATTTGTACTGGGCTTTCGAAATAAATTGCGAATTAATATTGCCACTTATCTTCTACAAAAGGTCATAATTAGAATTTCAATATCACGTTTCACCTCTTGCCCTGCAGCATCAATTTTATTTTTGTCTTATAGTTGCCATATTGGATTTTCAAACGGATGAATAGAGCTTTTAATTCTGATTCCAAACATGTCTAATACGTCATACATTGATGTTGCCAAACCTCGTTATTTAAAAAAAGCTGAGTTTTCTAGGTAAACCTTGAAATCATCAGACAGCCACCACATTTACCCCAAAACCACTTTGATTTTTTCCTGATCTTATTCGATCCCGGATTTCAAAATAAATGCATGTAAACATTGCCACTTTTTCTCCTCTACAAGATAGCATAATTGAAATTCCAATATAACATAAGGTTAGAGACTTAAGTTCTGATTTAAAAAATGTGTAATATATCATACATTGACATTGACAAACCTTAGTCATTCCAGAAAAACATAATTTCCTAGGTAGGCCTTGAAATTGTCAGATTTCTTTGGTTTCGTATAACAGACCAGACCTCCAACTGAATCTGCTATGATTTACTTCTGCTTATTTATGATTATTATTGTTATTACCATCAATAAAATTTCCATTTTGTGTTCAGGTTTTACATTTTCATTTATTTATAGTTTTCATCGAACAACAAACTCATGACCAACTGCGGAAATACATCACTGAATTCAGTAGTAGATTTAAATGTATTAATATAGCTTCCATATGAAATAAATAATATACTAAGTGACATATAAATCCGAAAACCCAGTTTAAATGGTTTTATTTTAATAAAAGTTGGTGAATGTATTTATCTTACTGTAAATAACAAGTGAAAAAATTTTCAGCCTTATCAGTTGGACATTCCGGTTTTTATACTGCTTTTTTTTTAATTCACTAACGCTCTAAAAATGAATATTTCAGCCGCAGTAAAGAATCAACGTTAGCGGATTTTGGTTCTTGACATCCTTTACGATCGGTTACGATGCCTAGAGTACGGACACCTGTACGATTTCGTCAACTTAGTGAGTTTGATAGGGGCCGTATAGTGGGACTTCGGGAAGCTGGACTTTCTTTTCGGGCAATTGCAGTTAGAGTGCAAAGAAGTGTAGACACTGTGGTTAGGTGTTGTCAGGCATGGCTTCGAGAAGGCCTTACGCAAAGAGCAAGGGGCACTGGACGCCGCCCTAGAACAACAGACCGTGAAGATCGCCGCCTAAGATTATTGGCCTTAAGGGACCGTTTCTCCACTACCAGGTCCATTGCAAATGAATGGTTTGCAGAACACGGAAGACCTATTGGAGTGCGAAGTGTTTACCGACGAATGAGAAGTTTTGGCTTGTTTTCATACCGACCACACTGGGTCCTCCCTTTAACTCGAGAACACCGACGTAATCGCCTTGAGTGGTGCAGACAACGGTCACTCTGGGATCAGGAATGGAACAGTATTGTCTTTAGTGACGAGTCTCGATTTTGTTTAGGCATGCACGATGGTCGTGCCAGGGTTAGAAGGCGACGTGGTGAAAGGAGGAATCCACAGTTTTTTGTTGAAAGACATGTTCATCACACCGTTGGAGTTATGGTTTGGGGTGCTATAGCTTATGGTTCCAGGTCACCTTTAATCTTCATCAGAGGTAACATGAACGCGCAGCGTTATATCCACGAAGTTCTAGCACCCCATCTGTTACCCTATCTTGACACCCTGGCAGATCCAACTTTCCAACAAGATAATGCCCGACCACATGTTGCAAGAGTCACAATAGACTTCTTTCAACATAATGATGTCACATTGTTACCATGGCCACCAAGATCTCCCGACTTATCCCCAATTGAGCACGTGTAGGATATGATTGCTCAATTTGCAACGTCCTCCTCAGACTCTATAAGCACTTCGAGAGGAGTTGGTGGTTGCCGGAATGAGATACCACAGGAGGACATTGACCACGTGATCAGAAGCATGCCTAGGCGCGTTGGAGAATGCGTAGCACATCAGGGTGCATCCACACATTATTAAAGGTCAAAAGGCTTCTAAGCAGTGCAATCATTTTGAAATTTTCATCATTTACTTATTATGCTTCATTAGGTACTTATACAAAATTTTATTAAAATAAAGCCATTTAAACTGGGTGTTCGGATTTATATGCCACTTAGTATAGTTTAAAAATGCACGCTTTTATAGCTGTCCAAACTAAATTTTTTTTATTTTAAACTTCGAAGCTTTCTAAGCGGCGTTTTGTAGATTACCTAAATACGCACTTTGACCCCATTTAAGCGACTTCATATCTCTCGCCGTATCCGAGATCCCAATGGCGAGGGTCGAATTTGAAATACCCTGTATATAATTCGGACAAATACGTCTGGACCAGTCAAATACGGCCCGTGGGTCCTTCGGACTAGTCAATCTGGCCCACGACGATGGTTTTGAATGTGGATAACAACACGTGGATTGTTCTGTTTTTCTGGCCGTCCCCTTAAATGGTTTGTCCAAGTCTAGCCTAAGCATTGATCCAGAATTTCTAGATAGTAGGGAACAGTTTTGTTGTTAACAGTATTCCGTGCGTAACGGTTTTCATGGCGCAAAAATTACCAACGTGCATATGCCCAGGATAGACTGAACTCGCAATATCTATACAAAAAGATACTGATTTCCAGTAGTAGCTAGTGGTAGATGAGGATGAACTGCATGAAGTGAGAAACGCACTCCATGAACTCCATAATGAGCAGTGTATCGAGTTTCTGGCGGGAATGTCAACCACTCCTCTCTGTAGGATTGCAAATTCAGCCAAAAACGGAAAGCGAGAACAACTCCCGCACATCCACGGTCCTGAACGGACCGTGGTCTTCAGAACGGACGATAAGGTCGATTTCTTCGCTGACACCATGGAAAATTAGCTTTTCCCAACTATGATCTTGATAATGACTGCTACGAGGAAAACCACATCGTAAGGTCCGTCAGGAGATATTTTAGGGCCAACGGCGTTAGCGGAGGCACTGAATCCTCTTCAGATGACTCTTCTTCAGAAGATTCGTCTGAGGGTTCACATTAGCGCAACCCTCCGAGGTTCCACATTGCATTGCAATGCAACAGAACTCCCAGGTTATATTAAAGACCTTAAGGTGCCTAAAGAACCTGGGGAGAATCAAATCACCAACAAGGTGAAACTGCTCTCCCCGAAAGCTCTGACATATTTGGTGACAATAATCAATGCGATGCTGAGAATCCTGCAGCTCCTTGTGGGGTGGCAGCCTGCTGCAAGGTTCCAAAAAAGGGGGGTTAGATATCTCGTCAGGATGATCGTCTCATTAGTCTGCTGTCAGCTCCTTTTAAACTCACCGAAAAGTGATTTTTCGTCACCTTGAGAATTTTTCATCATATCACCATGTGACGTTCTGTTCGACTTTCAGTCCAAACATAGCACCGATCTATAGGTGACTCGGCTGGTGGAACATGTACCCAGCCGGTTCACCCTCAGCATGGGTACTGATATCTTGCTTTTGGATGCCTCTAAAGCCTTTGACAATGTGTAGCACGCATGCTTCCTCTGTGAACTAATCCAAAAGGGTTTTCCTTTTTGACTTAAAAAACTACCGAAATCCTTAGTCGAAAGTGTGGGATTAAAATAAACAACGTTTTGTCAACAACACGGCCAGTATAGGCCGGTGTTCCTCAGGGCTCGGTTCTAGGACCAATACTTAACTCGCTTTCTATCCACCGCGTCGCTTGCCCTAGCAACCGTGAAGTCTACCTCTACGCTGACAACACCGCACTTGTCATCCGGCCGTGTACTGGTGATGTGGTTCACGATAGGTTGGAGGGTACGGTGAAGGAAATACGAGAGTGGGCAGAACGGTGGCTGATTAAAATTCGAGGACACAGGCTATTTATTATACCACAAAACATCGCCACCCTCCAGCTGACGTTCAGTAGACGAGAATCGTATACCATAGAAAAATTATGCCAAGTATCTCGGTGTAACGCATGATAAAAGCATGGCCTGGCAGAAACAGCAGCATTAAAAACAAAATTCCGAATTGCGTTTCGCCAACTATATCCTTTATTATGCAAATCCTCCAAATTGAGTTTGATGAACAAAGTTTGACTATATAAAGTTATTATCAGACCAGCCATCATGCATGTGTGGCTTGGTGTTTTTTTGCCAAGGCAGTCTTCAAGGGCTGCAAAGCAGGTCTTTAGAACAGTTTGTACCGCTCCATAGTATGTCCCAAAAGAGACACTACACTGAGACCTGAACGCGCCTTATTTGAGGGATTATGTCAAGTTTCAGGCGCAGCGACTTTGTTGTCAAACGGAATAGCACAGCAACCTTCTGTTGCATGACTCAGTGGAGCAACTTCGTCTAGCTCATAAACATTAAAGACTACGGGTCGCACTGTGAAAATTTTTACTTTTAGTAAACCTAAAATTACACTCTAACAAAACCTGAATCAAAATTAATCGGTGTAGCAAGTCAAAAAGCCTAGGTGTTTCTTCTTAAACTGGTACACTTATGTTTTTCCTTGCTATCCTCGTCCTTTTTTCTCTTTCCCTTTCTCCTATTCCTTGACATTGTCTTGTTTCCTACGGACCGCCCAAACAAACAATTGATGAATAGTATGGCCACCAGCCTAACTAGCGTCATCAAGCTGCTATTGGTTCCTAATATCAATGGAGACGTCCAACAGGGGTCAGTTTTAGCACGAACGCTGCTTCATCGATGAAAGCGTGACTTGGAAGCCTATAAAATGCGAAGAAGGTACGGTCGAGAAAAAAGAGAAAGAATTGAGGAGGAGGATGAATATTTAAGGAGAAAGGAAATGTGAAATTTTTATAATGAAGCTAAAAAAGGAAAGTAGAGGTATATAGGAGGGATAAATACAGTTAAGGTCAGGGATGGAAATTTAGTACTGTAGAATAAAGAAATTGAAGCAAGATGGAGATAACACTTTTGTGAAATGTTCAATAATGCGGATGATACAGAAGAAAACGAGTGACCGTATAGGGACGAGCCGGTAGAAGATACCATACATGAGCCAGAGAGGGGAGAAATAGAAACATTAATTAAAAACATGAAGGATCACAAATCAGCAGGGTATAACGTTATTATTGCAGAAAACATTGAATATGGAGGGGGGCTGCTGAAACACATACATGGATTAATACTATGGAAAGGAATATGGAGAGAAGAAGAAATATCCAGTGATTGGGATGTAGCACGCCATAACTGAAAACGGGTGAGCCGACCGATTGTAACAACTACGGAGGAATCTCGCCACTGGATGTAGTATATCAAATTTTATCAACATTGCTTAAAATGAGACTAAAGAACATTATAGATCCACAATTGAGGATTATAAAGCTGGTTTTCGGCAGGGAAGATCGACAACTGATTTTTCTCATGTTACAAGCTCTCACCACCTGCGACTAATATAAAATACCAGCAATTATTTACTTCCAAAAAGCCTAGGACACGATCAGAAGTAGTGCAGAATTTCGTACAATGAAGTATTCCGGTATACCTGGAAAACTCGTAAACCTCACTATGAATATGAGACAAACAAGAAGTATGGTCAAAATAAGTGGAGAATTAACAGAAGAGTTTGAGATTAATACAGGACTTAGACAGGGGGACCGATTATTATCAACAATGTTATTTAATATAATCCTAGAAGGAACTGTTACTGAGAATGAGTTGAATGGGTCAGGAAGCTAATTAAACAAAAGTCACCAACTAACTGCCTAGGCTGACAATGTTGCCGTAATAGCTAGGGATATAACGACAATGGAAAAAGTGGTAGAGCAGTTTATACAAGTTGCAGCAAAAATGGGATTGAAGGTAAACGAGAAAAAAAGGTAAACGGAAACAAAGTTAGAAATAACGGTAGGCACAGGAAAAAAGATTTTTGAGGAGGTGGATGAGTTTGTGTATTTAAGATCACTGACTAGTAATAAGATAAATGAGGCAACAAAAGTAAACTACAGAATCGGTAAGGGCAATAAATTTACGGGAATGCTATGAATACGATAATCAAGCCAACCTTTTGTATGGAGTAGAAACCTGTGTAATTAATAAAAAACTTGAACAAACGAAAATTTTAAGGAGAATATATGGAGGGATCAAGATGGAGGTAGGAGGTCTAATGCGATAGTCAATCATCTGTATACTACACCAAATGTAGAAGAAGTAGGTACGACCGGAAGATTGTAGTGGCTCAGATACCTGGAAAGAATGGCGCAAGAAAGAAGAGTGAAGCACATAGCATGGAGGGTTCCGGATACCAAGAGGAAAGTAAGGATACCAGGAAGAAGATGGAACGGTGTGGTTATGGAAGATTTAAGGAGCAGGAATGTCAGAGAGTGGAAGAAACGGGCATTAAACAAGTAGTAATGGAATAAACTTATTGAGCGTAGGGTCTAAAGGCATGTTTCATAGCTATAGACAGTGTGTCGCAGATTCGCTTCTCTATACAGGGATCCTGTTATACCTACAGCATAGGTTACAAAGGGAAAGTTTTAGAGGAAACTTAGTGCTTTCGATAGCCGGCTTCAGGTCGGTCAAATGGTTTTGAAAATATTAGCAAAAAACTGAAAATGGCCGAATTTGGTCTTTGCCAGTAAATCCAAAACGGTTATTTTGACAGCTGTCAAAATGTGATATTATTCGGACATTTTTTGAGAAAAATAAGACAGCATGTATGTGACATGCCTCAATTGTCTTTGGTTTTCCAGCAACCCGCCTCAACTTTTATTTTTCTTGTCGCCGCCATATTGGATTTTTTTTATTTTTGAGAAGAGTGTAAAGTTTCCAATCGACTTCTCAGCAAGTCAAATGTTTTGGGACAAATTCCCAATAATGAGTGTGTCAAAAAACAGGTCAGAAAAATCGTCGTAGATTTATTTTACACTTGAACAACCAAACATCTTACAAAATTGTAATGTAATGTAAAAACTAATTATGTAAGTTGGTATTTGCAAAATAACGTCCATTTGCATCCAGACATTTTTGACAATTGGTGACTGTTTTTCATACAACTCTAGCTAGTGCATTTCCATTAATGTTTCCACTGTGCTCAAAACTCTTTGTTCAAGGATTTCTATGGTCGCGGGAGGATCAAATTCATAGACCTCAATCTTTGCATGACCCCAGAGGTAGAAATCCAAGGGTGCTCAGGGGATCTAGGAGGTCAAGATATTAAACCGTTTAATGAAATTATTCTTTCATCAAACTGCTCTCTTAAGAAGTTCCTGACTTGAATGGTGTTGTGCGCCGGACATCCACCCTGTTAAAACCAGCTGGCACAACCTGGTTTCGCAAAAGCTCTAGGTACCTCTGTCCGTTTAGGTTGCAGTCAAGCAAATGGTCCTATAAGTCGATTTCCTGAAATGACTAATACCTAATTTCAAATAGGTAAACCTATAGTACGCTCATCGGATCACATGACCTGATACAAAAATCGGGATTTTCATTTGACTTCCTAGTATACCACTCACAGAAGCGCATCCGGCTTGGAAAATCAGTTTCTTTAAGTTCTTGAGCTATTGAAGGTTTGTATGGATGGCACTCATTCTTATTTAACACTCTCTGTACTGTTGATTTTGACACACCAATTTATCGTTCTATAGTTCTTACTGATGCACTACTGATTTCGTTGACATCTTGTAAAATGTTTCTGTCGCGATTTTCATTTTCAATATTATTAAATTAACTACTATTTTTCTTGTTTGGTTTTATGAGGCTGCTGCCATCGTTCGGGGTACATTTCCAACTACCTTGCTGAGGTTATGTCGGCGTTTCTGTGTGACTGCAAGTACAGCATGTAAAACTTCTTTATTTGAGTAGGGAATGCCGGTCATTTTATCAGGTTTTGACAGTTTTTTGTTAGATTTATGATATTAATGAGAGAAAACGTACCTTTTAAAAAAAAATGAGGTACTCGAAAAAAAATATTACATAACATCACGTGTGATGATATACTAAGTGACATATGCATCCGAACACCTAGTTTAAATGACTTTATTTTAATAAAAGTTGGTGACTGTATTTATCTTACTGTAAATAACAAGTGACAAATTTTTCAGCCTTATCAGTTGGACATTGCGGTTTTTATACTGTTTTTTTTTAATTCACTAACGCTCTAAAAATGAATATTTCAACCGCAGTAAAGAATCAACGTTGGCGGATTTTGGTTCTTGACATCCTTTACGATCGGTACGGAGACCTGTACGATTTCGTCAACTTAGCGAGTTTGATAGGGGCCGTATAGTGGGACTTCGGGAAGCTGGACTTTCTTTTCGGGCAATTGCAGTTAGAGTGCAAAGAAGTGTAGACACTGTGGTTAGGTGTTGTCAGGCATGGCTTCGAGAAGGCCGTACGCAAAGAGCAAGGGGCACTGGACGCCACCGTAGAACAACATACCGTGAAGATCGCCGCCTAAGATTACTGGCCTTAAGGGACCGTTTCTCCACTACCAGGTCCATTGCAAATGAATGGTTTGCAGAACACGGAAGACCTATTGGCATGCGAAGTGTTTACCGATGAATGAGAAGTTTTGGTATGTTTTCATACCGGCCACACTGGGTCCTCCCTTTAACTCGAGAACACCGACGTAATCGCCTTGAGTGGTGCAGACAACGGTCACTCTGGGATCAGGAATGGAACAGTATTGTCTTTAGTGACGAGTCTCGATTTTGTTTAGGCATGCACGATGGTCGTGCCAGGGTTAGAAGGTGACGTGGTGAAAGGAGGAATCCACAAATGAGATGTTCTCAAAGAAGCATCTAGACATCTAGACGATCTACATATGTCAAAAGCTCATCTGTTTATTGTTGTAAGGAGCTGGTTGGACCATGGAAGGCATCGCTAACAGATAAAAGATCACAAATTTCACATAAGATTACTTTTATGTCATTATTATACAACTATAATGTTGTCTTAGGGCTAATGCGTCTTTGGTAATCTAAATGCGTCAATTGTATTTCTAACTATTATTCATTTGTTTGTCTGGGCGGTCCGTAGGTCACTGTCTAATGTACGTAAGTCAAATCTGTATGTCCTGGTTGCCCAGAAACCAGACAAAGTCAAGGACAATTGTATTTCATGGACACTAACATATTGACACTTTGTGACATCCTTCTGGGGGCTGTATCTCCTAAACAAATCAGAGAATCACTCCTTGAGTGCAACACCGATTAGGAGTGCTGTAATTTCGAGCATATTTTCACAAGTTTTAGGTCTACAGATAGATAGAGAGTGATTTGAATTTTAACTCGAAATTTCGCAAAATAGCTGAGATATCCCACCTTAATGTTAAAATAATGTGTTGAAGCTCCTGTGTTTCGTACACATTCGTTAAGTCGTCTCATCATTGATTGGATTGGGTGATGTCATTTTGGTGTATTCTTTCCCAGGCCATCTGAATTCGGTTTCCTAGAGCCTCCAATAATTGTGAAGAGTGTGATGAATTTTGCAACCTTCTTCCCATCATGTCTCATACAGGTTCGATGGGGGAAAGGTCTGGAGATCGAGGAGGCCAATGAAGCAGATTTACTGCGGACGCTTCTAAAAAGTCCAAACTAACACATGCGACATGAGGTCGTGCATCGCCCCTGCTGAAAAAGTGGATCGGCGATAAACTGTCATCCTTGTTATTGCTCTTTCGACAGCTTAAAACCACTGGTTCGCAACTGCCCTGGTTGTGGAAAATCAATCTCTAAGTGATAGTTGCCTCAAATAACGATCCTGTCGCTCTGTAGTCTGTCTTTGACGTCCAATACCTCTAACTTGTCGATTTCGGCCTCGTTGCAACCACGCTCGACAACATCTCATTACAGTAGCTTCATTTCGATTAACCCGATTAGCGATTTCCCTAAAAGAATATCCGGCTTCACGTTACCCGATTTTCCGAAACTACGGCTCGGAATGAATTCGACAGCGTATACTTCCATGACAGCAAATGTTTTTACAAGTTTTTGGCGAAAACCAATAAATAATTCTGGGCGTTGCATCTTTAATGTCAATGAGTATAATAGTGCTACTACCGCAGCAATCTATGCTTGATCATTCCATATTGTGTATGAAAGCCTCATAACTAATCCGAAATCATCATCCAAATCTAAATTCTCGTATTGTTGAAGCGGCAATGCAATTTCACGGATGCCTACAAAATATGAATATTCCGTTCTCTAGCATAGAAATTGTATGACACCGCTCTTATATGCTTATGTTGAGATGATATTTTTAGATTCCACCAGAACTCGTAAAATAGATTGAAGGCGTACGTACGGTGGTTTCCTTATTCATGAAAAGTGCTATTGTAATATGAAAAAAGCGAAGCAATTCCATTACATCCGTTCCGACGTCGCGATATGTTTATAGAGTAACAGAATATGGGTTTCAGAAATGTATGATAAAGTCACGAAATACGGGGAATTCGTTTCGGGATTCTTTAGTAGTAGGCTGTGAAACTAATATTGCTTTTTTACATTATGCCCTACTAAATTAAAGACCTCATGTGCCCTATATTTGGAAAAAGCCACCATCTTCAACATCACTTGAGTTTTCGAAGCATAAGCAAGGCATAATTTTTCAATCCAATAATTTTCCTAATGCTCAACGACGTCCTGGAAACTCATACGCCGGTTGGTATTTCTACAGGGTGGCCCAACGAAAAAGTTGCACTCCCATTTGTGACTCTCCTGGTATATTTTCAGAAAAACGCGCGGACGTCAGTTTTTATTTCTGGTGGGACGTCTTTTCATCTATAGTCGTACAGCACAGGGTGTGTGTGTGTGATAAGATATTTCATTAAACTTTAGATTTTGAAATAGAAACCTCAATTTTTAAAATTTTTTGA